GGGGGGGAGGGGAAGAGAGAGACGCGCGCGCGTATCATGAGGGTTCACCAAGTTCGTACACCTCGCGACTCCAATCTCGCTTTTCCAATTCCTTAGAGACCCAGTCTGTATCCCTTCCCGCCTACTTCTCTCCTGTTCTCCATCGACGATCAGCAGTCCATTAAAGCTTAATAGCCGAAGCATTAGGCCCCAGGGCAGATTTTGTTCCAACGGAAGTGAGATAAATGTATCTTTCAAATATTTCCAATCCGTGATCTTTAGGTAGCAGTGCTGAAATTGCTATTTCTCCTTTGAACGATTACGTTTTACACTATCGATTAAGACACCTTCGAATCCTTTTATCCTATCACTAAATTTACCAATTTTCATTGAAACTTTTTAATTTGATTTACTTTGAGTGCTATTAAACGCAATAATCAAAAATGAATAAGCAAATACTTGTTGCATAAAAAGATATTTCTCTACCTATTCAAATAATAAGCAATATATAATTTTTTCATGAAACATTAAAATATTTTATCAAATTTCTCAATTTCCCTTTGCAAGTTTTCTCATTAATTATACAGAAATCCGACCGCTGTCTGTCCGCGCGTATTCTCAAATCGTGCCATAACTTTTCTCACCTGAGAATGTACGCAAAGAAATCGTATTAGGATGGAGTCGCATTAATACAGAATGCGTCTCGAGACGACGACGATGCACGACCGTGCACGGGACTTGTCGGGATTTGCAGACGTGCATATCCTTCTCGGTGCGCTCCTTCGTATCGAGCTAATGATGCGCCCCGGTCCGATCATCAATCATACTTTCATTACGTGGATCCCAGCTGCTCCACATTGACTTCGCGGCCCGCGGGGCATTGTTATTATTCCGAGACGAGAGAAGATGCATTCCGCGCACGAGCGTGCGCTAACGTTTCGCGCGTTACACAATGCGAGCACGCGGGAATTCCCGCTTATCGACGACAACTGTAGCCTGTAGGAGCTATCGCGATCAATGAGTTTACGAGTTCAACCCGCTTTTCCTAACGATCGCAGACTCGTATCTGTGTTCGCGGAGAGTGTAGCGCGCGTTTCCTCTTTTCGACACACGTGGGGCTCGTGCGCGAGATGTTTGGTATTTTGTTATATATGTAAAATGCACCATCGCTACTCTTATACCGACATTTTGATATCGTAGAAATATATATCGTTGATACGTTAAATTTCAAATAACAATTTTTGTGATAAACAGCGAAGGTGCGTTAGAATTGCGAATTATCAAAATTATGTCTAATAATTTGTAGCTTATATTGTTTTATGCATATATCGCGCGACGCATGCGCAATTTTTCCTACGTAGGTTCGTAAAAGTGAGAAATAATCGGTTTGTATTAATACTTTTATGCATCGTTAGCCTCTTCTAATCTGTAAGATACGGAACACGTATAATGGCGTTAACAACGTATCAACATATAATAATTAATACATAATTACATACACGGCACTTCTTTCTCAGTCTGATAAAGATCTGTTATATATCTAGCGTTTGAACGGATATCCTTTATTATCGTTAGTAGTAAATGAACAGGTCGCCGAAATTAGTATAAAATTAGTGTGCGCACGTACCGCGGGCTGTAAACCTTCGTGTGCGGCGTTTTAACGCCATCGTTTCTAATACCGCTCATAAAAGCGCGCGCGATCCCTTTTAAATCCTCCCCCATTCAATCATACACGGCCGCCGCCGCGTAGGCACTCGAACTATAAACTATAAACCGGCGGCGACGCATCGTTTTACGACGTACAAGCTGCCGCGTCGTGTATCTTTACTCGTGTACTCGTGCGAGATTCTATTAGGTTTATATCGCGTGGAGAGAATCGTGCCACGTGGTTACGCTTAGGATAGAAAGGCTACACTCAGGTAATGCATATTTGAGAGTGCCAGAAAAGGTATGTACATTGTAATATATCATTACCGGCATCTTGCAATGAAAATAATGATAATTTAATTGAAGAAGTTCCATTTATAATTTACCTTAGACATTTGTTGTACGACGTGAGAGATCATATCAAGCACGAGAGTGCTTATCTTTGTTTCCAATTTATTAATGACATATTGCATGTAGTTTAATTAATTACATATCTTTTTTTGCGATAAATTTAATCAAATGTGAAATAAGCATAATAAGAAAAAGATTAATGAAAGC